TATAGATCAACACTGCCGTTTTTGCCAAACGATTTGAAGATAATCTGGCATTTTATAGTCACATGGTAAAAGTATTGGATTTGAGTTCTAGCTATATCGAGAAATGCCCGCTTTATAACCCGGATTTTAAGCAGCAGTGTGTTGAACAGCAACTAATCATCCAATAATGGTCTCCCGAACACTAGGCGATAGAAATGTTTCGCCAATGCTTTGAAGGCCATGATGAGAGCTGAGAGTCAAGAGTTGCGACATGCATTGGAGGATTCCCCTCAATAGCGCGCGTGGCGCTGTCATAAGTGTCACTTAGAGTTGATTTCAGATAGTACAGGCAGAAGCCGAACCTTGCGGTGTGACAGCTCACACCGTATCCGATGCATTTCTAGCTTCGCTAAGACGATCATCCCAAATAGGCTGAACCGTCACAGCTGAGAAAAAATCATCTGAGACTACTCCACCACATTTAGCTTGGATGATTGGCCCGAATCTCACAATTTTGCACGAATGAGCTTAGCGCCGTAGCGGAGGAGTTGTCTCCGCTTATAGGCTGGCTGCCTCCTCAACGAAGATCTTTACATCATGCCCGCTTGATAGTCGCTTATTTTCTCGCCATCGGGTCTTGAATCGCGTTAAGAATCCAAATAGGCCGGACATGCGTAGGGAACGGACCGTCACAGCTGAATGGCCGCGTTCGAGACCACTCCACCACGCTCTAGATCCTACAATACGAAAAATGTTCAGCTGTACAAAGAATAATGTGATAGTTCACACATATTGGGAGCTGTGTGGCTTGCGAGAACAACCCAATTTGGTTAATTACACCAAGATAAAACGCACATAAATACCCCTTCTTCACTCACATCACCACGCACAAACACATACATTCGGCTCACTCTTCAATCTCAACATCTACTAAAAAACCGCATTTTCAGTCTCTATCTTCTCAGTTCAGAAAATCTTACGTCATGACTGTCGAAAAGGGAAATAAGATCTTCATCGCTGAGGGCGATGTTGCCGCCAATCCTGCCACTGTAAACTGGCAACAGAACCTTTCCCAGAAGTCCGACACATATTACATGGCCGTCTTCACGAACAAGGATAAAAGTATGTATAGACCTCAAACACCCAATATATCACTTCTAATTCTTCGTGAAACAGACGATGAGCAGAGCTACATTTTCATCCAGCAAGGCAAGCTCGACGCCTTGAAGGCTAAATCTTCTGGTGATTCCTTCACAATCACTGTGGATGATTCTTTCCAATACGGTCAGAAGAACAAGCAGGGAGAAGGACGTTTCCTGGTCTTCCACGACAAGTCTCGCAATCCCTTCCAGGTGAGCATTTACATCAACGATATTCTAGAACTGAAGCTGTGCTGACCTTAATGCACCTATAGTGGAGGTTTGTGTCAACCTTGTATTCGAAGTTGGGCAATGGCGCTCTTGCAGTTATCAGCTTGGCCCCAATCCCTGGAGGTGTTAAGGATATCGCCAAGTACTTTTCCGGACTCATTGGCGATCCTCTGCACAACTTTTAAATGCACTTCAGGGGAGGTTATTGGCACCGGCACTCTTTTAGATATGGTTACTTCATTTCATCCACGCACTCATTTGGCAGTCAGAAATAGCAACAGATAAATCCATTCATTCTCTTCAGAAACTCGATCGCGAAAGTGACTTTTTTTGTTATTGAGACCTTGACAATATTCGATGTGTTTCTAATATTATTTTTTAACGAGAGGATACGCGACTCAAAGGTGTTGATTGATAGTCTTGTAATATGGGGTCGTCTTGAGATCGTGTCCGGGATTTACGTCGGTGGTAGCTCGCGAAATGATTAAGTGAGTATTAAAATGTCTGGCTACATTGCAGTTGCCAACGATGCCAAATTCCACTACAGATTGAGCAAATCAAAATGCTTGGAAGTCCGTTGCCGATCTTATAGGGTGGAACCGTGTTAATAATGTTGTGGCAACGCCACAGAGTCAGGGCGGCGCGTATTAGCTCCTGCACAAACGAGAGCGGCCCACTGTGGCGTCTTCGTCAAACGAGGCACTGCTCGTGTTGAACGGATCAAGGCGAAGCGGGTCCGAAACTAGCTAAGTATGTCAGGCGCAACTAGTCAAAAATAGGTATACGTACGCGGCTTTAGCCATTTGCTAAGTCTAGATCGCAATTTCCTAATATACAACTCTAGATGACTTCTGCCGTTGCATAGAAAATTTCAGAGCTTTAGTGCATGACAGTAGGTCATATTTCGTGTCATTAAGCAGTATGACCTTCCAACATCATGGCACGACTATCAGCATTAGCGACTATCCTCCAACTGAGAGATCTTCTCTGATGGTTAGAGATTTTGTTGTGATAAGTGATTTTACCCGAGCTAACATGTCTTACAGATCAGAGTGATGACAAAACCGGATGGCACCTTCACTGGCATAGAGCATCCATACCAAAAGCCCCATGGACTACAGATTGCATCAACCATCAATCTTCGTACAGACCCAAGATTTCGAGGATTCTTCGAAGATTACTTCCAACAAGGTCAGATGGGGTCCTGCGTTGCGAATGCAACCGCGGCTTGTTATCTCTTTGAGCTCCGCAAACACAATGCTCTCAACGGTATTCCTGGAGAGGCGATCGTCCCATCTCGACTCTTCATCTACTACAATGCTCGAATTGCAGTGTCCCAAAATATTGCAGATAGAGGGTGCTTCATACGTCACGCATTCAGAAGTCTGGAAAAGTATGGAGTATGCTCAGAAGCTTCTTGGCCCTATGATAGACTCAAAACAGATGTGAAGCCGCCCGAGACTTGCTTCCAAGAGGCACTTAGGTACAAAATATCGACGCATGAGCGCCTGGATGTCCATCGTAACGCAAAAGGGCCTGATTCAACCATAGATATGGATGCAGATGGTGACGATGTCCTTGACAATGTCCTGTCTTGCCTCACTGACTGTCGCCCAGTGGTTTTCAGTCTTACTTGGAAGATTGGGGATGCTGTATGGGACAAGGACGGACCAAATGGCATGTGGCAAATTCATGCCATGGCAAAGCCAAGGCACTCCAAGGTGTCCTTGCCAAAAGCCGCACATGCGGTCCTGGCTATTGGTTACGATGACAGTTCAAAGTATATTCTTTGTCAAAATTCGATGGGTGTATCAAAATTCCTCTTCTGGATTCCTTATGATTGGATCACAGATTTTTATGCTACGAGCGATTTTTGGACGATGAAAATTAGCATTCAAACACCTCTCGGAAGCCACTGAAAACTGCTATCTATCCCTTTGGTATGCTCTGCTATCTTTTCTTCCCATTGGAATTTCGTACCCATGTACACGTAGATAGTAGGATTACAAGCCATTGGCTTACGAGATAAGGGGATGCCCCAGACCTTTCTGTGTCGAAGTTCTACCAGCCATCATTTTCAGCAAATTGATACCTAGTTGTCTTATATTCGTTGTAGATTTTAATTGCTTCTACGAAACCTAGTTATACACCGATATCTCCAAATTTCACAAGACAACCGCGCATGTATATCATAGCAACTAATTCAATTATTTATTACAGATCAAGATAGCGAAGTATACCTAACTCTATGAATCATAAAAAAATCTTCTGGGAACTCAACGACAGGTGTAGTTTTGACACCGCTCACCGCTATGTACAGATGTCGATCCTATCACTGTACGTGAACTATTTCATACCAACTTTGAAGTCACTTGATCACTGCTGCAAGCCACCAAAAGCGTCACAATACGATAGTGGATTTACAGGTTACTGGTGGGCGGACTCGCCGATAGAGTTCAGCCTTTGCTAAGTGGCTGGCTAGATAGAGGAATGAACGGCTAAGATTGAGACTTACCTAGACCTAATTGCGTTTACTAACATCTTCTGAATACGGCATTCATGCGGGCCGCAGCGCTTCTAGAGCGCCCTGGATTACTCTCCGATGGACCCCCGCAACATCGCTTAGCGCAAGGGTCGACCCGCATCCGCTAGGGCGCCACCAAGCAGTGGCGTTCCTCATGAATATCGAGAGCATTAGCGCAACGACCCATTACAACGAGACTCGGCTATTCGCCAGGTTTTGGAGCCCAAGGAGTGTTGGCAGCATTGTCACAACTGACCAGAATGTGACTGGGGTTGACAGGTGCATATACTTGATAATTGAGGTATCTTGTGAACAAGACTGATGAAGGCCATGATCATGTGGCTGGCTGGCTGGCCAAAGTACCATGGCCGTGCACTCAATGCGTCAAACCGCGGGTACAAACCTGATGCTGTTGAGCCACTTGCAATTGTTGTTATGCCAGTTTTGTATATTGCTAAGGTAATTATACGCGACGCAGGGGTTCCTGCAATAGTGTCCGGATGGGTGGCTCAGCTCTTGAGCCTTTGATGGATAGTTGTGCAACTGATTTGTTTGCACGCAACAATCCCAGAACGGCGACCAAGCGCATCACAAGTTTCTGTACTGCCATAGCTCCTACTGTTTTTCGTCGAGCACGGCGTGCGAGGCAGGTACTGTGATCCAAACAGTGCATAGATCGAATATCGATGTGTAGACCAACACCCACCAGGCCCTTCGCACATCGTGAAGGAGCTATGGTTTTCCTTCATCTCTTTACGCACTCTGCGTTGATTTTATTTTTCGAACTCATTGGCGCATGGGGCTCGAGTAAAGTGGCAAGAGGTTATGGTGATGAGTCAAGTTGGAGGCTGGGCAGTAGGCAGTGGGGTTGTATCTATTCTTCTGTGAGTCTTTTGTGCCAAAAAAAGGTGAGAAGGCCGAACGAGGCCATTACGCTTGATTAGGAAGCATTTACTTATTGACAGCCGTCAACGTCATCGCCAAGCTTATTACCACTACTGCTGCTACTGCTACTACCACTACTACATCAAATGGCATCCCTATCATGCTTTCGTGGGATCTTAGACGTAGTTCTACTATACTTCAAGGAAACTCCACTATCCGCTACTGCAATGGGGTAAGGGAGCGTCGTGGAATTCTTGCTTGCTAGTGGAAGGATGGATTCCGACGTCGAAGACGCACGTGGTCTTACACCTCTGGCTTGGGCTTCACGGACGAATCAATCAGTCAGAATTGCGGAGATGTTACTCAGCACCGGCAAAGTCGATGCGAATTGTAGTGAAAAGCTTGGTGTAATACTATTCATGTGGTCTACAACCTCTCAAAGCGATAAGGTGAAGGAACTATTGCTCAACAGTGGTAAACTTGACGAAGATCTACCACCAACAACCGCCGGCGACATCCTTTCTCGGCACATCATCTATTGGATAGAGGCTTGCGACGCTCAACACGGAAGACATACTCGGCCAGTACCTCTTGAACATAGATTATCTCGCCAATTTCCACAGTAAGTTATTGACATAATTTAGGGGTGCTTGGTCCTTAGAAACACGGTTTCGCGTTACGTCGCTTTGAGCTACGTATAATCACAAGGCTTGGGCAATGACATGACATCGCGTCCGTCAGACAGTATCCTGTTGAAGAAGCTCAACTTATCAGACTTCCAACCACCTTAATATCTAAAAGAGACATTCACGAATCTTCCCAATGCTATCAAGGAAGCCGTTTCTTTAGTTCCCAAGCTTGGGGAGAGATACCTATGTGTTGACTGTTTATGTATTGTCCAGGACGACGACAGCATACGCGGACATGTGAACCATATGAGCGATATATATTCTGGTGCATATTTGACGATCATATCTGCAGATTCCTATAGCATGCTACGGAGAATCAGTGATCTTTTCCGCAGCTCTAAAATAGACAACAAGGTAGAGTATCTCTACGACGATCTCTACAGATCCACGTGGGCCACCCATGGCTAGACCTTCTAGGATCAGATGCTCTCAAAAAGAGCTGTTGTCTCTAACCAGCGCTACACGTTTTGGGAATGTCAGCAACGTACTCGGAGCGGAGACGGACCAAGCCTAGAAACTACTACAAGCGGGAGTATTTCCTTCCCGGCTCGACACTACGACCAAGCTACTAGCATGTTATTCAGTTCTTACCCTGACTTCGATCTATACGCGACATGGATCAGTCTTTACAACCGCTGCGTTTTTTAGTACCCGCAGGATGTTCTTCCAGCGTTCTCCGGTGTCTTGTAAACCCTGGGATGCAATTTTCCTTTTAAATTTTGTACGGCTTACCTCGTATCTATCTGGATACTGCACTACTATGACAACCATTCCACAAGACTCATCTTAGAGTAACAATAGACGATGATGATCGTACATACAATGACGGCAAAAACGCACCTGCCTTCATGGTCACGGCGTGGGTGGACTTATCCTGTCGACCCATACCATCTGCGGACTTGATCGTCGTATTTTAACAAAGATTATCATGGGTCTCAATTACCTGTTTGGAAAACACAGAAGCTTGTACAATGATACTATCTGCCCGAAGATATGCAGCACAAAGTGCCAGCAGATAGGCCATTGATCCCTCAAGATGGAGCACCAACATCACTTTCCAGTCCCACACCGCTTGGTGTAAGTCCGTAATACGTCTCTCTGCCTCAAGATATCTGGCCTTTCCTTTCCTACGAGATATTATGTCTATCATTGGACATTAAAGATGTCTTTCATTCGCCTCTTGCTTCATAGGGAAAAAAAGGCGAAACGCAGGGCCAAATGGGGATCGATATTCGAGCTCCCATCATTCGCCAAAGGGCCACCCCTACAGGACGTTCGCGGTCTAATTCATCTAAAACCCCCGGAAATACTTCCTGCTGATGTACTACGCAATATGGAGAAGAATGAACTCAGGCTAGACGAAACGGTGGAGCTTATAGCCATATCTACAAGAACCAGCAACTCCACCGGTGTCAAAGGCAACGAAGCTAACAAGCTGTATAAGCTGAGCATGGAAGCAGATGAAAGCGATGATCTAGCATATGAAACGACTTCCAAGTATCTAGGTCAGTATGACATTGGCGGTTCTATGTTATCACCTGAAGCATGGAGTCTCATGCGATACCAAACTAATAGAATTACAGCAGTTACGAAGGAGATGAAGTTATATGGCATAGAAGGCTTAGACGGGTAGAAGTACCATTTTTATAATGTAATATACGTTGAATGTAAGGGAGAAATAGCATACCGGCGTGCAGTGAAACGTGTACCGAAGGCAATCTGGGATGCAAACTGCACTCTGCCAACGAAGATCATCCTTGGCCAATCAAGACCATTTAGCAGACTGGAATATACCCGTATAGTTGAGGTTTTACACCCAGATCCTACGATGGATGGTTTCTACTATCGCGTGTAAGATCCCTTTACATACCATTGATATCTTTTAATCGTCAATCCCGATATTCCTCAGACCACCTTGTCGAGTCCAGAACATTTCCCATGCCTTCTGCCATCGCTCTTCCTTCAAACCCTTCAGCCAGTCCCTCACTGACAGATCCTCCTCACCATCAATCCTAATGATACCATCCTTCACACCTTTCCAACCCTTCATAGGTGCCTTGATATACCGGTGATCTCTGCCGCAGTAGCTATGCCATGGTTCCGCGATCTCTCCACGCGTCTGCGCTAGTCGTTTGGAATGGCAGTCTTCGCACAGATCGCAGTTGACACAAACCAAGCAATAGTATATCGGCTTGACCCAGCTACTCATGTCTGTTCCGCAACCTCCATCGCAGAAGATTCCGCTTCCAGTAAGATCCTCGTCAAGATTGTTTGGATCTGCTTCAGTAGCGTCCTGTTCAGACGAGGTGGATTCTTGTGCTTCTCCTGTCTGTTGTGGAGCTTCGGCAACTTCTGCAGAGTCTCTCCTTTTGGCAACTGCTGAATCAGTAGTAGAGCCCCCCACAGTCTCTAGTTGGCCGTCTAGCAAATCAGATTCTCCATTCTTCGCAGGTTTCCCGTCGGTCACGGGATCATTGTCGGATGTTGCAGTTTCCACAATAGGTACAACTTCCTCTCCAGACTTATTTTCTGCGTCTTCTTCTGTACTATCACCGTTGGAATCAGTCTCAGAAACATCAGTGCCACTGTTTTGATAGTGTACGCTCCGGTCCAGTATCGAAAATTGCGCGGTGCAAGCGATCTTTGCGTCTCTTTCAAGGCCATCCAAAGAACCCAAGACCTTGGATAGGAGCCTCAGACTGGATGAGTCGTTCCACGATACACTATCCTCAAGACCATGCATACAGGCAGAGAATAGGTCGTTCATGTGCTTCTGGTATTCCTTTGCAGGGCCCATGATCCGGAGCATGTTTGCAAGTAGCATACCCACATGGGATTCTTGAAGGTCGTCATCCACATGAGCGCTCGGCAGAGTCCTCAAAGTTTCGATCAGCGCTTCCTTCTTCGTTGGATCTGAGCAGTTCTGGAACTCGTGGAACAGGATTTGAGCAAGCTTCAGTCGATGCTCCGTCTTCTTCTCGTTCATGGTCTCCTCGAACCAGGATTCAGGTTTTGGGTTCATGGATAAGATCTCCTGGCGCAAAGCTTTTCCCTTTTCAATATCTCCCATCACCGGATAATACAGGTTCGCGATTGCGCCTCGGACATTGAACAGATAATAGCTCTCCTCTGGTAAAGTCTTTGCCAGAGTATAGAGCCAGCCGAGGAGCAGGTCAGTCTCGCCCGTCAATTTGGCTGCTCTTTGCATACGAGTAACCGCGTTATTGTCTACCCAACCCTCGAAACAATATTGGAACCAATTATTTCGCTCCTTTTCTGTCCATGTTTTCAATTCTTTGATGAGTTTCGAACCATCGGGGTCATTTTCCTCCTTGAACAAGAGGGTGATGTCGTCAAGTCGCGCGCCAGGTAGAGGCGTTTCTCCTGAAAATCTTCTAGCTTCATTGTAGATGCAGAGGGCGTCTTCAGATTGTTTCATTTCTTCAAAGGCACTAGCTTTGGCTGTCAATATGTCCAATCGAATGTCCATGAACTCGATCTGCTGAGCTTTGGTCAGTCCCTCTGAATCTGGGTCCGGCAACATGTCGTATGCTTGGTCGTAGTACTTGATCGCTTCCGAATGTTGATCGATCCACAGATACTTTGGTGCAAGAAGGCGAAGTGTTTCGATCTTTTCTTGGTTGTCGCATTCCATACGCTCGACGGCTTGCTTAAGGTACGAAGCTCCTTCAGTCAACATCGCCTTCTGACGTTCTGCATCCGAATAGTCGTATCCGTAGTCGCACAATGTGGCGCCGATCGCTCTCAAAGTCTTATAATCCTCAGCGGGAACATCGTATTGCGAGGTGATCTCTTGGATGAGCTTTATTGGCTCATCGTCTGTTGTTTGTAGCCGGTTGGCCTACATTCAATTAGAATAGTTGCGATTATAAAACAAGGGCACTTACCAATCGAAGAGCAGCTTTGACGAATCGAAAGGTCTCGGGTATCCACCACTGAGTTCTAGCATCCAACCAATTTTGAACATGTCCTTTTGCCAACAAAAGTAATACATTGTCCTTGTTAACAGTGCGCGCCCACTCTTTTACCTCACTATCCAGAGATTCATCTGCGAATGAGGATGCCTTGGCCGCCCAAATCAAGAGTGTATCGAACCATGCTGAAGGTGTATCGTCTGCTCGTTCAGGGTAGAGTTCTGCATGCCTTGCTCTTTCTTCAAACAACTTTGCAACATTATTCGTGTTTTGCGTTATGCTGTACAACAAAGTTACCACTTGGCATATCGTCGCATCTGTCGACTTCTCAACGTCCAGCTCCTTCAAATGCTCGTACCAATATTGGATTGCATACAGCGATACTCCTGAGCTTGTTTGGTCTTCTGGATCTTTTGCCGCTTTGATCATAATGTCTGCACACATCTGTAGGATCGTGAGGTGAGCTGCAGAAGCAGGTGTCCGGAATTCTTCAGTGCCATCGGCATCAACGCTCACGCTCTTGAAGTATTGTCGCAGAGAGCGATCTTGGAATGACAAAGGCGATTCTCGATATCCAAGTTCAAAAACAAAATCGTCCTTCGTGTCGTCGGTTTCGTCATCTTCTTTGTCGTCTTCTTTAGTATCCTCCTCTGTCTGCCGGGTTTGTGTAAGCTCCAAGATACGGGATGAGCGCCCAATGATTTCTTCCTCAATATCGAAGGAGTTGTCTGATAACGTCAACTGCACCAAGTTCGAGGCTTCTGCCAGACTGAGGGATCGTTTCGAAAAGGCCAGCCATGCAAAAAGCTTCTTTAGCGCTTGATATTGAGCGTCAGACCGATTGTGGCGGCACTCGTCCAGAAGAAGTTTATAAAGATCATGCAGAGAGTCTGGCATCTTTTCCAGTTCCTCCAAGACAGCTCGCTCTCGGCCAATGTAGGAGAACCTTCGCAGCACATGCTCAGCATAAAGCATACTATCTGCTTGTTTGACGACCTTGCGGGTGATTGCTCTTTTCACAGCGTGGCTGAATTTTCGCACTCGTGGTAGTGAATGAAGGCGACTTTTGACTAGCGCCTTGATGTCCGGCTTTATCTCTTGCTTGGTGACATCGATGACAGAGGGGTCGAAGAGCTGTATGATGGGCTTCTCTTCTGGCCTGCTCGTCAGCAACACCGAAACGTTGGCATTCTCGAGCCTCAAGTCGGATAGAAACTCCGTCATGATACCACCCTGCTGGATATGAGCCTCGTCTAGGCCATCTAGAACAAGGAATAGCCGACTGTCAGACTTTTCTTTGCCAGGAAACATTGAAATGAAGAACCGCTCCCAAGTTGATATGTCTTCCGATTGTGCGGCATTGTCCCTAATATTTGCTGCTACTTGCTCTGCATACTTGTTGTTCGATTCGGCAATCTGAAGTGCGGCTGATGCAAAAGCATTTTGTACTGACTGCAGGTATGGGTGTTCCTCTTTGAAGTAGAAATAGGCAAAGCTGTTCTTTTCATTTCTGAGTGCGCGTAGTCCTTGAACAGCCGAAAATGCCAGAAAGGATTTGCCGATACCCTCATCACCTCTTATCCAAAGCAACGAATTTCCTCCTTCTGCCCAGGTCTTGAAGTCTGGGTGTTCATTCAGCCATTTCGCCGTGTGTTTGACTTGAGAATCTCGCATGTCTTCGTCTTGCGCCAAGTTCTCCTTGTGGGCATCGGTCCATGAAGGGAAAATTGTGTAATTTTCTGTCAGAAACTTTTTGATCTCTCGCAACGCTTGAAACTTGCGATCACCGCTGTCGCCCTTGGACTTTCCGCTTTGTTTCTTCTTCTCGTCGTGTTCGGGCGTCTTTCCCAGTTTCTCGACTGATTTTTGGAGTTGAAGAAGCAGAGTATGACTTTCATTCTGCTTCGTTTGGACTGCAACAAATCCTTCACTGACTACAACTTCTAACTTCAGACTGCTCATATAGAGCTGCTGAACATCCTGCCCCAAGCTTGAACGAAAAGAACGCAGTTTTTCATCAAGCTCATCGAGCTTAGCAGCATTTGCTGAGGTGTCTTCTTGTACTGCATCGAGTTTGTCATTTCCTGTTTTCACCTCATCCTGAACGGTCCTGATAGAGTTATAAGTTTCATATCCAACAGTTTGGTTAAGCTCATCGATCGACGCTTGCATAGCAGCGAATGCAGCCAGCAGCTCTTGGTCCTCCATATTCCAGAGCGCATTGAGCCATTGTGCTACGAGTCATCAGTTTGGTCCACTAGAGGAGTGGTAGTTCTTACAGAAACGCTTCTTTTTGATCAGATATCGCACTCTGCCACATACAGATAATTGCATGGAGAATACTCGGACGACAGCGATAGCAAGTGGTCCAGATTCTGCTCGTTCTTCAAGAAGAGATAGCCGCTCAAAAAATCGACCTGAATACTCAAAGAACGACTCAACCCGATCGTAGTCAGCTTTCACTCCAGCAAAAGCCTGCTTTCATTAGTCTAAGGTTGCATCGCAATGCAATGATTCTTACTGATATCAAGCGGCTTGCTGCCGTAAACACAAGTCCTACTGGCATGGCTGGTGGAAACGCACCAGCCGCAGAACCAATTACAGCAATACCGTCAATGCATTTCTGCATGTCGCCAAGTGAGTTGCCAATAACTGAACGGAACTTGGACGTTTTGCTTCCATTGTGTCGAAACCCTTTGAATTTCTCCATGCCATCATCTAGACTTTTCATCGCTCCATCCAAACTTTGTGCACCCATGGACGAGAGATCTTCACCTGTTCGTGCATTGTAGTCGCTAATGGCCTGTGTCCACAGCCGGCCAAGGTCGGTAGATGTGCTTTGTTTTGCCGTCTGAGTCTCCATGATGTTTCAATGTATACCGCAACTAGGTACGTGATAAAAAAGGCGGAGACTTGATTGAAGTGACAGAATTCACTTAGTCGTGCGCGATTGATCTGGGGTGCGGGGTATCACATGAACCTTTATAATCACGCTTTGATTGTTGTTCTAGGGGAACTCGAAATTGAAGGCTCTGAGAGAACGATTCAGCCTTGTGATGCATGGCGTTGAGGTGCGACTAGGGATCCTCGAACGGTCGAATACTAATGCAGGTCTAGAGCTTGAAATGCTCTATTTTGGTAATTGGGGCCGGAATCTTTTCTCGCTATTGGCTGATCGAGTCACGCGCTCGATCTTTGGGACCATTTGCCGTTCTGGCTATTGGGGGCCAGAACAAGACCTTTTCATTGGTTAATCGATGCGCACCCATAGCGCACCGAAGCGTGGATGTGGGGGCTAAGACTCAATCATTCAAAGCTCAGAAGAGTACATTGTTGCGATACAAAATGCAACAAAAAGTAGCACATGTTAGCTCATGTGACAGTATCCAGCATTTGTGTGTAGAATGGAGGAGTAGTGCAACGTTCTTTGTTCTATGCCCAGTTGGAGCCGGGTATCTAACGAAGAAAAGTCGCATGTTACTCAATACATTCTTACGTAATCATACGTCTTCTTTACTCTCGCGACTTGATTTTGCGAGTTCCCTTTACCGCATCCACTAATAATAGGGGCCAATATGTGCCGTTCTGCATGTCAGACCTTTTATGTGGTCCATTTCTACGAGTTCTCGCCCTTATTTGCTGTAGTTGAATTAGAATCAAAGCCACAAGGTTAGGCCTCTGATTTGATCGGGAGGATTCATGCACAGTGAGAAATTCAGTCTGGTTCTGAACACATGACAGAAAGTTGCATGTGTGGCTGCTCTGCAGGAAATGGTCAGCACGATGACAACGCCTCCAACGTCTCGTCAGCGTGATGTGTTCGACTCATGACCAGTCCTCAATCCTATCGCGCCAATGCATTGGGCAAAGTTTGGGAGAATATGATCAGGTCGCGTATTGCCAAGTTCAAGAAGAGAAACTGGATGCTAAATGGTACTTTTCAATCACATAAGGCTCCCAAGTTCGCACATATGAGTTCGCCATATCGGAAATATGACATGTTCAATCACTGCTCGTTGTTCTTCAAAGAAGCCGTGGGATTTACTAAAAGCGAATATCAGTCCCGGACTTGAAAAAGATGTTTCTCCCAGAGAAGATGGGCACCAAATATCCCTCAAAACTTCACGTGGTTGAGTCGCTAGATCACGCCGAGACTTCATGTCTCGATGAAGATCGTGCAACCACTTTGTTCCTAAAATAAGTTGTGAATGCTCAAAATTATGTAGGAAAGATAGTAGGCGAAAAGAGCTACACTGTAAACAATACAAAGACACTCATCATTAAAATTCTAGAATTAACTGATGCATTTGGCGAATAATATGGGCCGTGGGAGGTTATTTGTATGCTCATATCATCCAAATTGACATGCGGTCTCTATGTTAGTAGTTTTGTAGCTTGATTAAGGATTTTTCAGCTGTTTTAGTCACCCAAACCCCTCAAATCCTTGCCACGGAGACTTTTGTGGATAAGTCGTCGTATCTCATTGTTCGATCGCTTTTTTTCCCAACAGGCATTAGGCCATCATCATGGCCAAATCCGTGCTGTGCAGTGCTCTCTTGTAAATGTCTTAAATCGCCTTCTGAGGGCGAGGATAATACCCAACTCCAGTGGGCCCATCGGGCTTCATGATCATAAGTTCTCATCGGTTGATTAGGTCTTCTGCCGAACAGGATCAAATGATTCCATAACGGAGTGATGTTCCCATCCGAACTGTAGGGCTGATTGCCATTGATCCAGTCAGTCCACCTCTCTACGATCGCTTTTGCTCTCTCCTCTGTGACTTCGAAATACTCCACGTGGCGTTGTCGACACGATGGACAGAACCAAGGTCTACACAAGTGCTTTAGATCCAACTTAATCAGCCGCTCAGCCCGCTTCGTCCACTTGACGCAATGCGTCACATAAACAGGTTTCAAGTCTCGACCACACTTATTGTGTTGTTTAATCCGTACTTTGGGATCTTTGGCAAACCCGATTTTCAAAAGACCATTTTTTGAGTCGCGAAGTATGTAGATGTAGCCCTGCTCGTCGCCTGGCGTTAATTTTGATGTAGTAACCCGGGATAACTCGACACTTATTAGCTGGGCAGTATTGCGATCGATCTCCCGGGGTTTCCTCTTCTGCGGGTGATTCGTACTATGATGTTTTGCATCTAGTACGCCGCTTGCAGTGATTGTTTTCAACTTGCTCACCACAAGGCCTTTTACCATATCTAGGAGTCCGTGATGGGTTTGAGCTTTATCCCTCTCCTCTTGCTGCATTATCCTGCATTTGACGCAATTCTCTTCATGATTCTTCTTGTCTCCTTGCCTGGTGTAGTGTCTCCCACAATGGGCGAAATACTTTCGTGATCCAGGACTATGGATCCTGTTACTTGGACATTTATGAACTTGCTCTACATGCTCATGCTCATTCTTGTTGTCCCTGGGTGATGTTTCCTCGATTGTTTTGTAAGTTATCAGGAGTTGAACTCTAGCTCTTTTGTTAAAAGTTTGTACCAATTCCTTGATATTTGACAAGAGTCTAGAGGTACCCTTATCGTTCTTGACCACACCCGCATCCGTACCCGTTGGTGTTATTGTGGACGAGCATGTTCGCATGGAAGAAGTTGTTGCAAGACATCTTTCAGGTTCCCATAAGGAGCGACGACGAACGTCTGCGATTTTTATCACACTGTTAACAATAGTGTGATGAAGCAAATTAGGAGTAGAAGATAGTCGGTAAGTTGCACGTCTGAATGAAAGTGTAGTGAGATATGCGCAGACGTGTTGCGATGTTAGAGCTGTTCGAAGGTACCGCTGTCGGTGTACCGGAAAGCCACATTCCGCTGCATAGACGGACATGTGCCCCGTATTGCGCAGTTGATGTGCAAGAAACATTTTTGGGTTAATGAAATGTCAAGCCACCCTCAATATCTTGTTGAATTACTTGCCGGAATTTAGCGGTAAAATGAGAGGTTGTGTGGTTTGATATTTAGATGCCGCCAATGGTCGCTGTTTGTTTGGGTTATTGTTCATGCAGCATGTGGACAGCAATTTATAGAGTAGAAGGGCGAAAGAAAATTGAAAGAACTGAGGCATGCGGTGGGTATCATGGCTTTGTTCATGCATACGTTCGCAGCTTGACTCACAGGTTTGAAGACAAAGCCAACGCCGTTGACGCGAAGATACAGCGCGCCCAATCATTTCCAGTACTTTCCTCCATGGTAGCCATCTGATTTCATTCCTGATTCAAATTCCATGCCATTTATCTTGAATGCGTTAGATCGTCTGGAAAGGGCGTGGTATAAGATAAATGCTGTGAAGATGACGTGAAAGTGGTAGAAGTGGATCAAGCGGAAATCATATGTGCAAATGGGGATTTAGGAGTGTGAGAGCTCAAGCCAGTAATGGTAGATATACTGGAGAAAGCTACGATCAAGCATCGGCGCAAGAGTGAGGAAGTGAGATGACCCAGGAAAAGGATTAGGAAGAGGAAGACTATTCAGACTTATACAGGCTAGATAAAGCCCGATGAGTTAAGTTTATGTCTGACTCTGCAAATCCGTATTTTCTTTGCCATATCCTCAGATGAGCCGATGTAACAATTCGCTTCCGTCAATCAACCTCTCCAAGTTCTCTGCCGTCTCTTCGTACCACACCGCCAACGTTCCTTCTTCGACATAGCCCATATGTGGCGTCAAAAGAACCCTGCTCTTCCCCTTTCTATCCCAATTCTCATTACGCCAAGGACTGTCCACTGGGAGTGGCTCGATATCGAATACATCGAGGGCCGCACCGCGAATCCGTCCATTCCGCAATGTATCCAGCAATGCAGCTTCGTCGATAAGGGGTGCCCGGGATGTATTGACTAGGAAGGCAGTAGATTTCATAGACGCTAGTTCGTGCGCAGCTACGATACCTCTTGAGCGGTCGCTGAGTACGTAGTGGAGTGATACTATGTCTGCTGTTTGGAACAGCTCTTCCTTGCTGACTACTTGAAAGGTCTTTTCATCCTCGGCAAGCATGCCTGCGCCTGTTGTTGGTAACCCGTATTCCTGCGCCATTGCATCGGCTTTGTCTTGTGTCAAGTTCGCACTCCAGCAAATGATGCGCATTCCAAAGGCGAGAACACCCACTCTAGCGACGTGAGCGCCGATTCTACCCAGCCCAACGAGTCCGAGAGTTTTGCCTTGTAGGCCGACCGCCAGTTCCGTCTGCCAGCCCGCAGGCCCGCCTTTTCCCTTTACAACTGCGTCATCGGCAGCAATGTTACGTGCAAGTCCGAGGATGAGTGCCCAAACGTGTTGCGTAGTAGGATGCCCACCTCCTTGCTTGATGGGCAGCGATCGTGGTGACTTAACGCTGCCCTTGCCGTCCGTCCTCCCTTTGCCGGGCGCGACGTAAACGCTTATTCCCAGCTCTTGCATAGTGCTCAAGTCCCAGGACTCAAACTTACCACCAGTCGCAAATACTATCTTCAGATTGGGTAATTGACGCAGTAGCTCACCCGGAAACGCGGTGCGTTCGCGTAGCGTTGACAGAACGGCAAATGGTTTCAGTCGATCAACAAGGGCTTTGCGGTCTTCATCTGAAGTCCTAGGGTGTGAATATGACGGTAGTGTGTCGTTAAAGACTGTAATATCAACTTTTGATGGATCAATGTGAGCAAAATGCTTGGATGCTATGCCATGGTAGTCATCGAGCACGGCGAGCTTGATTCGCGACTTCGATTCCATAACCGTGAATTTGAGGTTCAAGAAAGCCTAACTGGATGAAACTTTGATGTGGGATAGACAGCAAAGGCTGCAGAGATACAAGCAGGAGCTCTATCCGAGGCGTTGACGCAAGCTAGTACTTCGGCACTTTTCCCGGATCCGACTGAGGGGCTTGAACTTTTGTTTATGGATGACGTGCTAAATCGGCTGATTCAGCGCATGAAAGCTGAGTATGAAGCTAATCCCCTACGCGATTATTTCCATACTTTGTTTGTATCATTGATTTGTCTCTGTAATTCAGTATATTGTAATGCGAGATTGACCTATGTACAAACATGAAAAATTGTTCTATCTGTCTAAATTCGCCCCTGGGTATATAATGCAAGATGCTGCGCAGTTCTACAATTAACCTGCTCTTCACGACAATAGGATACGTGCATCCTCATGATTGATCATGACCTCCTCGTTCTCGAAAGAGTACTTTCGGCGAACAATTTCAAACACGATGAGTCCAGCAGCTGTACTGGGCGTTTGCTTTATGGTGCTCATGAAGAAGTCGCGGTAGAGGTAGTTTCTCCACCCTCCAGCACGTTTGGCTAGAACCTTGCATTGTGCAAATGTCTCTTCGTAAGCATGGTAATATCGTCGGACAATATGCGAGGGCTTGTTGTCCTGATGAGCCTGAAAATCGAGGGCTTCAAGCCGGCGATAGTGAACATCCTGGATTTCCATCAGGGGGTGTTGGATGAGCTGAGATGTTACTGATGCTGAGATACCGGCCAAGAGCAAGAACATGGGCTCCAACATGTAGTGTGGCCGTATGACTGGACGATCATCGTAGTCTTCCTGCAGGTAGGGAATGGAACTTTCCAATAGCGTGTCACGACTTCGGCTGCCGTAGTAATGCGAAACGAATTCGAGGTATGCCTGGCTTTTGACAGTCTCAAAGGTGCCGAAGAAGACTGCTGCGCCGAAGGCGTCTTTGAAAAAGCTCAGCGTCCAGCCAGCAAAAATGCCTTGCAAGCCGATTGAGCGTAGCTTGTAGCCTGCATAGTGCCACATGGTCTTGTGTTTGCCTTCGAGGATGTCGGCGGTGCGGAAGCGGGTTTGGAGGGCGTCAAATGGAGCGGCGAATACTGATTGAATACCACCACCAATCAACCCTGCGGTGAAGGTAACAGACGGAGGTGGGGGAGGGTATACGCGCTTGGTCTGGTGCGAGGATGGCTCGTGGAGGGCTGATAGGCTGTGGAGGTATGTCGTGTACAGGACTGCACCAATGCTGCATAGTATTAGGCACTGCGTGGAACAGACGCTGATTATGCATACCATGTGTTTGCCATAAGCGGTGGAAGTACCTGCTTGGGTATGAAGCCCCATCCTTCGGTGCGTATGGCATGTGCGAGCACAGCAGGCGTGGTCATTCTCCACGACCATTTCGCATCGGCCATGACATGGGGGTTGATGGCTCTGGCGTAGCCCATGTAGTCGATCCTGCCCCTGAAGAAGGCCTTTACGGGCGCTCTGAAATAAAAGGCGACCATCCTGGCGGCGACGGCTCGCATGCCTGCAGCCTGGACGCCCGTGGCTGGTGCCTTGTTGGGTGCTTGCGGAGTGTCGGGGGCGCCATCATTGGGGCCATCGCTGCGGACAGAGACTCCAGCGCGGACACTGGAGCCGGCTGTCATTGCATAGCATGGGAGGTGAGAGAAGGTAGGGGGTGCATGCGAGGGCGTTGGCAGGCTATATAGGCAAGGTGAAGGCGCTCCGCGTGCGAGGGTCACAAGCGGGCTAGTGACCTGGGAATACTGGCTGGGAGCGTACCGATTGGCGAGCTGAGCAAAACGAAAAGAAACGGGGGACCAATTCAGAGGGCGATGGTGTTGTTGTACTAGTTGGTAATTTGCATCTGCACGCCCGGGATGTGGGGCTGCAGATTAGCTCTGGAGGGGGGGTAGTATACAGCTATAGTGAAGGTAGTAGGGCGCTAGGCCGCTTCGGGAGTTGAGAGGTTGCGCACAGGCCCGGGGCAGCGCGTGGGAGCCCTCGCGTCGTTGTCGCCATCAAGGCCTTCGCGACTTTTCCCATCAGCGCCGTCTCTCTCCCTCTCCCCTTCCCTCTCTCTCAACTCCCTCTTACCCGTCCCCGCCAACCCATCTGGAGGTTTTATTCCACGCACCTTCAACCATGGCGGACGACATCGTCATCGACAAGGCTCTCTTCCACGAGCGCCTCAACAACCTCGTCACCAAGTGGAAGGCCGACAAGCGCTCAGGTGACCAGGTTTTCCAGGGCGCAGGCTCAATCGCAACGCTGGTCGGCAAGGCGAGCGAGCCTGGCATTTACCAGAAGCCCGCCGCTTTCCAGGTAAGTCTGCGCATGCCTTGTTTGCGCATCTGGCGAGCTGACAAGCCCATAGTTGTGGTTGCTAGGCTACGAATTTCCTGCCACGCTCTTCGTCATCACCCCCGACCTCGTCCAGATTGTGACAACCAAGAAGAAGGGTGAGTCACGTGCGACTGCCTAAACTACAGCATTGCGCTAATGCCACTGATGCAGCTGCCTACCTTGAGCCGCTCAAAGGCGGAAAGGTGCCTGTCGAAATCTTGGTGCGCGGCAAGGACGCCGAGGAGAACAAGAAGCAGTTTCAGACATGCATAGATACGATCAAAAAGGCCGGCAAGAAGGTCGCCGTCATGAAGAAGGAAAATGCCAACAACGCCTTTGCGAGCGAGTGGAAAGCCGCCTTTGACGAGGCTGCCTTCAAGGAAGAGGACCAGGTCGATCTCGCCTCCATCCTGTCCAATGCCGCCCTGTCTGTCAAGGACGAGAAGGAGCTGAGGACCATCCGCGATGCGGCACGAGCCTCGAGCTCCCTTATGACCAATTACTTTGTCGAAGAAATGTCCGACATCCTCGACTCTGAGAAGAAGATTTCCCATCGCGCCCTTGCCGACAAAGTCGCCAACAAGATCGACGATGCCAAGTTCTTCGAGAAGCAGAAGGTGTCCAAGACATTTGACTCGCTGCAGCTAGATTGGTGCCTGCAGCCCACCATTCAGAGCGGTGGCTCCTACGACTTGAAGTTTGCGGCCGAGCCCGACGAGAACAACTTGCACGCTGGCGTCATTATTTCCGTTCTTGGTCTGCGTTACCAGACATACGGTGCCATGGTTGGCCGAACATACATGGTCGGCCCCAACAAAGAGCAAGAGAATGCATACAAGCTACTTTTGGCTATTCATGACTTGGTTATCAAATCCCTCCGCGATGGCGTTGTGGCCAAGGATGTTTACAACAAAGCGCTTGCTATGCTCAAGTCGAAGAAGCCAGAGTGGGAGAAGCACTTCCCCAAGAACCTTGGCTATGGTATCGGTGTCGAGAACAAGGACTCTTCACTTCTTCTGAGCGGCAAGAACACCCGTGTACTCAAGGACGGCATGACTCTTGTTGTCCAGACTGGCTTCTCCGACCTTGAAAACAGCAAGCCACAGGACAAGAAGAGCAAAAACTACTCGCTTGTACTAGTTGACACGGTTCGTGTTGGACAGGGCGAATGCGCCGTCTTCACCAAGGATACCACATCGGACCTGGATGCCGTCTCGTTCTTCTTTGACGAAGAAGAGGAAGAAGCCAAGCCCAAGGCGAAGAAAGAGCGCCCGGCCATTGCCCAAACCAACATCACAAAGACCCGAACGCGCCACGAGCGAACGACGAACCAAGATGCTGAAAAAGAAGAGCAACGGCGACAGCATCAAAAGGAGCTACATGCTAAGAAGCAGGCCGAGGGTCTCGAGCAGTACAGTGAGGGCGCAAAGTCGCTAAATGGCACTGAAGAAAAGAAGTTCAAGAAGTTTGAGTCTTACAAGCGTGACAACCAGCTTCCCAGTTCAGTGGCTAACCTGGAGATTGTCGTCGACAAGAAGAACCTTACAGTCCTTCTGCCTATCATGGGTCGACCAGTACCCTTCCACATCCACACTATCAAGAATGCATCACATACCCCCGAAGCAGACTTTACCTCTCTTCGAATCAACTTCCTCTCACCTGGTCAAGGTGTAGGCCGAAAAGATGACCAGCCTTTTGAGGACCCCAACGCACACTTCATTCGCAGTCTGACATTCAAATCGCATGATGTCGATCGCATCGATCAGATTACCAAAGACATCACCGAACTGAAGAAAGAGGTTGTTCGACGTGAGACTGAGAAGAAGCAGATGGAGGACGTTGTTGAGCAGGACAAGCTCATTCCCCTCAAGTCTCGCAAGCCCCACATGCTCGATCTCATCTTCATCCGCCCAGCACTTGACGGCAAGCGTATCCCTGGTAGCGTCGAGATTCACCAAAACGGTCTGCGCTACGTCCACGGCAACGGAAGCGCCAAGATCGACGTGCTCTTTAGCAACATGAAGCACCTGTTCTTCCAGCCCTCGCAACACGAGCTGATTGTCATCATCCATGTCCATCTCAAGAACCCCATTATGCTTGGCAAGAAGAAGACCAAGGACGTGCAGTTTGTCCGAGAAGCCACAGAGATGCAGTTTGACGAAACGGGCAACCGTAAGCGCCGCCACAAGTTTGGTGACGAAGAAGAGTTTGAGCAAGAGCAGGAGGAGCGTAGGCGACGTGCTGCTCTCGACAAGGAGTTCAAGAACTTTGCCGAGAAGATTGCCGATGCTGCACGCAACGAGAACGTCAGCGTTGACATCCCGTACCGTGAGCTCGGGTTCAACGGTGTACCCTCGCGATCTTCGGTTCTTGTGCAACCGACAACCGACTGCTTGGTCCAGCTTACTGAGCCTCCCTTCACATGTCTTACTCTTTCAGAGATTGAGATTGTGCATCTTGAACGTGTACAGTTTGGTCTCAAGAACTTTGATATGGTTGTTGTGTTCAAGGACTACAACCGTCCGCCTGTTCACATCAATACCATTCCAGTCGAGTCGCTGGACCCAGTCAAGGACTGGCTGGACTCTGTCGACATTCCGTTTACCGAGGGACCTTTGAACCTCAACTGGGCC